TTGTGCTGATTACACCCCACTTTGGCTATGGGGGTGTGTCTGAATGTTATGTTTGTCTAGCCTGCAGTGGGGTACTCAATAGTGAGTACAACCCAACTTAGGGTTTGCTATATGTACTCAACTGCTTGCTAGTGAATGCTCTCCTTTCTCATTCCTCATTCTTCACAATAAATAGTCATAGCCATGTACTCTAAGGGGTACATTCCCTTATTATAACTGCTTTACAGGCATTTCTATAGTGACTATGACTGCTGTACTACCTTCTTGTTACCGAGTCGCTGCATGTAACCTGTACAGTTACGCCTGTTGCCATACCTCGATGGTAAGTCAAGCGTCGGTCCAGATGGTCAACAGTCGCAACAGTTGACTCTTGCGACTGTTGACCTTCCTACCCTCGATACGGGCTGATCCGATACTGCGGTTGTTGCTGTTTCGATAGAGTCAGGTCCGATACTGTTGCACCTACGGGAATGCTAAGTATAATTCTCTTCACATTCCAACAGACTATTGCCGACTAAGGTGTTCACGATCCTAAGACGAACGAGTTCTGACGATAGCCTATGGCGTCCTCACATTGTGGTTCAAACCCGTTTCACATTCGTTCATGAAGATACCCTATTTGCGAATCCTGTATCACCGAGGTTGTTGAGTTCTGCTTTTGAAACGAGTAGCCATACTTCTGAAATGGGTTTTTAGTTACCGCAAAAGAGGTACTTCTGAACCTGCGCTTTCTAGGGTCCTTTGTCTCTACCTTTCACGGCCCAGACAGAAGACTTTATTGCAGAGAGAATTTCTCGAGAACCATGTTCGGTGATTCATTCTTGCTCACGTGGCCTCGAATTGCTCAGATGCCATCAAATTAGGTGATAATTGCCCAAGTGGCCACGCCAGGGGATTCCCGCTGGCCTTTTTTTTCCCGGCGCATTACCCTACGAGGGTTTTGTCAGATTATATATGTGTTACATATATGTAGGCTGTAGTGGGGTAGCCAATACGGGGTATAGCCCCTTTAGGGTTTTCATACTTGTACCAAACTTTAACCTAGTTCATCCATTCCTGCTAGTTGTTTCTGACATGGTATTCAGACCAGTAGGTCCGTAGGACCGATTTTTTAGGGCCCACCTACTATTGCGGTTACTGAGCTACCCCACGTCTGCGCTGCGCTGCCCGCGCGCGCCTCTGCCTTGCCTGCGTTGTGCTGCTCGCGCGCGCTGCTCTATGTCAGAATTATATTCTTATACCTGCATGTAGTTCTAGCTGTGTAGATATTTACTTTATAGGTGGTGCACCTCTTTGTTTGCTATATCTACCTGTCAGAATATTATGCTCTAGCCTGTAGTGGGGTGCTCTATAGCGAGTACAACCCTTCTAGGGTTTGCTATTTGTATCCTCATTCTTGCTAGTGCAATCCTCTTCTTTCTTCTAAACTATCACATGCTATCAGAGCAGGTCGATCCCCTTGGATCGATCCTGTGGGTGGGCTCACCACCTCGTTACTTCCGCTGCAACTGCTACTGCTACTCTTTGTGCCGCACGCCCCGTGGCGTGCGGTAGTTTTTATTCCCGCCGTGCGCCCCGAGGCGCGCGGCAGTTTTCTGCCCGCCGTGCGCCCCGAGGCGCGCGGCGGTTTTCTGCCCGCCGTGCGCCCCGAGGCGCGCGACGGGTTTCTGCCCCGTCACTCGGCGCGTCGCCCCCGGGAGGCGCTGCGACGGGCGACGGGGACCCGCGCGTCGCCCCCCCGTCGCCGCTCCTATCGGCCCCGAACCGTCGCCAGCGGCCCCGTCGTCGCCGCCAGCGGCCCTGTCGCCGCCACTTGCGGCCCCGGCCCCGCCCCGGCCATGCCTCCTCGCCAGCCGCGGCGCACCGGGGGCACGTGCACCCCCCCCCCCCCCCCCCTTTTTCCCGTCGCCTGTCAAGGCGACCTGAGGGGGCCGCGTGCGGTCTCCCCTGCTCCTCCTCCTCCTCTGTCTCCCACTGCTGCAGCTGCCGCTGAGGGGGGTGGGTGTGTGGGAGTCGACGGAGTGGTGCTAGGGGGTGGGGTGTGAGTGACCCTAGGGGTGCAGTAGGGGGTGTGTGAAATGGGGGTGGGATAGTTTGGGGAGGTTGAAAGGGGTGGCCGCCGAGAAGCCAGCAGCTCCAGTCGCCCGTGAGACCGTTGCGCGAGTGCCCGTGAGCCCGTTGCGCCAGTCGCCCGTGAGCCCGTTGCTCCAGTCGCCCGTGAGTCCGTTGCTCGTCGGCCGCTACTGTTAGCTGCGGAGCCAGTTACTCCAGTAGCCCGTGTGCCAGCTGCTCCTTGGCTGCTGCACCTCTCTCCATAGGTTCACCAAGCTTGCTGGTCCCTCCAAGATTGCACTTCTTGGACTCCTTCTCCTTAGCGCGACCGTCCGCGCAATCGCCGCTACCAACCGCTCCACCTTTGGTGCTGTCGCTTGATGCCACTTGCCTCTCCTTAGGCATTGGGACCACAGGGATCTGCCACATCTCGTTGTAGACATCTCTGTCCTCATGAAGGTTCCAAAGAATCCGATCGCCAAGCCTTGCGGTGTAGGTCTTGGCTCCCTTTGAGTTCGTGTCCATGCCGGCCTTTGCCAACCGCCGCACAGAAATCAGGTTGGCAGCAAGGCTGGGCACCCAAAGCACATTCTTGAGGCCCACCATCTTCCCATCAGCACCCTTAAACATGGCCTTGCCCATGCCTTTCACCTCCGCTCGCTGCCCTAAAGCTGATGTGTCATGCTTCACCGGTGACGGTTCGAGTTCGGTGAGCAAGTCCGGGCGAGGTGTCATGCTATAGGTAGCGCCACTATCGATCACCCAATAGTCCAGAGGGTGTAGAGTCACCTTCCCCACAGCTGCTGGTTCCTCAAAGCCTTCATCCTTCTCTGGACCAGTCGGTACTTGCGTCGACACGAAGTAGAATAGACCCGGGTACCGATCGTTGCTCGGGTCCTTGTCGTTGTCTCCGCTCTTCATGTTTGCAGCTCCGCCACCGCGGCCGCCACGGCCTCCACGGCCTCTTCCTCTCCCTCCTCCTGCTCCTCTACCTTCTTGGCCTTGAGCAGGGGTCCAACCATCAGGGAGTTTGTAGCAGACGCGCCACATGTGTCCGCTCTTGTGGCAATAGTGACACTCGCCGTCGAATCGGCCGCGACCGCGTCCGTAGCTCTTGTCGTCGCTGCCATAACCGCCACTCCCGCGGCCTCCGCCGAAGTTGCTGCCACCAAACCTTCCTCCCCCTCGTCCTCTACCTCTTCCTAGACCATATCCACGGCCGATGCTCGCTGCCCCAGCGCCATCCGCACTCGCCAACTCACGGCGGCGGAAATCCTCTTGAAGGATAGCTCGCTTCACGTCTTCAAGCGAGAGGCGGGGCAAGTCGCGATTAAGGTTGATGATGAGCGAGGACCATGACTCAGGGAGTAGGGCCAGCAACTTGGTCTTCTTTTGGAGCTCACTATAGTTCAAATTAGCTCCCTCAAGCCGCGTCAACAAGTCGAAGAATTTCTGCACCCCTTCTTCAACCGCTTCATCCTCTTCAATTCGTAGTGTCGCCATTTGCCGTTCCAGCACCACAGCTACCGCCGCTGTTGCAGGAGCGTGTACACCCTTGAGAGCAGCCCATGCCTTTGGTCCCTTCTCTGGTTCACGCTGGAAAGGCTTGATGTGACGGATTTGGCTGCTCCCCAACGCTTGCCCAAGTAGGAGGTAGTCTTGTGCGCTCTTCCGCACCCACGGGCTCTTCTCCGGGTCGTTCTCGGGACGCTTCTCCGTTCCTTCCATTACCTCCAGCAGGTCATAGTGGTCAAATATGTTCTCCATTCTGAAGGACCACTCAGCAAAGTTGTCACCATTGAACTTGTCAAGGCCAAACACTCTAGGCTCATCCCTAGATGGGCCAACACTTGATTGCACAGGCGCCATGGCTGAATCACGGGGTTGGCCTTGAGCTTGGGCTTCTCCTCTGCCACCAGCACCTCTGCCACCCCTTTCCTCAGGTCCAGCCATTGTCGAAACTGCTCCAAGGGGCTCTGATACCACTTGTTATAGTCACACTAGGCTCCAATGTGCCTAAAACGAAAGATAGAGTGCACAGTCGGATTTCTGCACAGCGGCTTCAAACGTTCATAGCGTTCTGGTCACATCTTCAAATGACTTGATTCAACTTGGATCTAGAGCGTCTTATTCTCGCCTACAGTAGGCAATTTAGATCGCACGATTTGACCAAGTATTGATGACACAGCGTCGGTTTGAACGAGCAGCACTATGGCAGCAACATAGTCTTAGAACACAAGATAGGAAGAGTTAGAAAGAGTTACGAGTTGGGAATGACTCCCAGCTCCTACAAACCCCAAGAGTCGAGGTACAGTGATGTGGAACAGTGCCACACTGTCCCCAACCACGAAGGGTCTCGAAACTACCTTTCACTAGGGCCTACACCAAGTGAAATGTTACACTACACAAAGTAATGTAACTATCGTCAATATCTTGAGGTGCACCCTTTTGGCGAGCTTCGAAATCACTTGAGGCTTGACACCAAGGCTTGGGCTCTTCATCACAAACTCATCCTTGAGTTTTTTATGGGTCTTCTACACACACCTGCGACACGCCGAACGTTCGACACAGGACAAAATAGAAACCGCGCACGACAAAATAGAAACCGCGTGCGAGACACAAACGACCGCGTAACACGCGTCTAGCGATAACTCGCTATTGACTCGACACACACACTCGACATCATGACTCAACATTCACACACAATTATAAGCATGAAATATATATTATCCCATGCCCTCATACCATTCCATAGACACACATATGCACGCACACGGACAACAAGCCGAGTGCAAACCGTAGGGTTGCACCAACAGGGGGTGCTGCGCCGGGGGGTACTGAGGCGTCTGGTGAGCAGTCTCCTTGGAGTGGCCGTCTTCGTAGTCGCTCTGCTAGTGCCTCGCCGCAGCACTCTAGTTGGCGTCTCCCTCTCTCCCCACAGCAGCTGCATGAGTGGTGCGTTCGCCGTCAGGGTCGCGCCGCTGGAGCTGAGGGCCCTGCTGCGGGAGGCGTTGGCGTTGGGGGCACTGAAGTTGGTGCCTCTGCTACTGGAGGGCGCTTCTACTGGAGTTATTGGAGCCGTTGGTTCCAGCGGTGCTCGTACTGGAGGTACTGGAGCTGCTGGGGCTGGAGGTACCGCTGGACCTGGAGGTGCTGCTGTCTTCACTGAGGCTGGATACCCTGGGGCTGGAGGTGCCCGTTCTGGGGGTGGTGCTGCTGCTGGCACTGGTTCTGGAGGTGCTGGCGCTGGAGGTTCTGGAGCTGCTGGAGGTTCTGGAGCTGGTGGAGGTGCTGGCGCTGGAGACGCTGGAGCGGGAGATTCTGGAGCTGCTGGAGGTGCTGGTACTGGAGGTGCTGGCGCTGGAGGTTCTGGAGCTGCTGGAGGTGCTGGCGCTGGAGGCACGGGAGCTGGAGGTTCTGGAGCTGCTGGAGGTGCTGGAGGTGCTGGAGCTACTGGTGCTGGTGGCACTGCACAGCCGCGACCATTCTTCGCTGCGCCATCACCTTCGTCTCTGCCACCGCCTGACTCCGTGCTTCGCCTGGTTCTTAGCCTCCCGTCTTCTACTGGTCTTCCGTTACAGCCTGGCTCCCCGCTGCCTGCTCCTTCTCCTTAAACTGAGCAGACAGGAGGTCTTGCTGAGCGTCGTGAGCCTGCGTCTCGTCCTGTGTCGCCTGCTCGCACTGTTCCAACTGGTCATACTGTTCGTCGTGTTCCTCATGAGCGTCCGCCAGCTGTCTCCGGCACGCACCTCATGGCCCTGCATCCTTCCTCTACTCCGCAGCGTGTTCCCCTGTCGTCCCCTCCTGCGTCTTCTCTGCCTAACGTTCCAGACCCTGAGTCTGATTGCGTTCGTGCTGCTCACCCTACTGTCACGCGTCTACTTGCCACTGTTGTCACTGACCCTTCGTTTGAGTCCACTGCTGCGTCTGCCTTAGTCGCTGAGCTTGTTGACTTTGCTGCTGCCTGTCGTCTAGACTTCGCTGCTAGTCTTGTTGCTGGGTCTGAGTCTGTATGTCCTCCGTCCGTCGGGGGTGAGTGTGCTCTTGGCACGGACGTCCTTGAGGACAGGCAGGAGGACTTTGAGCGTCTTGCGGCTGCTGTACCTCATCTCGTGGCCATGCTGCTTGCCCCTGAGGGAGACCCGGATGCACCAGACATCCCGACCCCGCACTCTTACGCTGAGGCGATCGCGGGTGAGTACTCCTCTCAGTGGCAGACAACCATGGATGCAGAGATGGCATCCTGGAAGTCAACAGGCACTTAAGTCGATGAGGTTCCCCCTCCTGGGGCGAAAATCGTCGATGGCATGTGGATTTTCAGGGTGAAGCGGCCGCCGGGTTCTCCGCCTGTCTTCAAGGCTCGTTACTTTGCACGAGGCTTCAGTCAGCGACAGGGAGTTGACTTCTTCCAGACCTTCTCCCCCACCCTGAAGATGGCCACTCTTTGGGTGCTGCTGCACGTCGCCGCTCAGCGTGACTAAGTGCTTCACTCTCTCGACTTCAGCACAGCGTTCTTACATGGAAGTCTGCACGAGGAGATCTGGCTGTGCCGCCCACCTGGCTTCACTGGGTCGTTCCCTCCTGGTACCCAGTGGAGCCTCTATCGGCCGGTCTACGGTCTCTGCCAGGCGCCTCGTGAGTGGCACGACACACTGATGACGACGCTTGCGGCTCTTGGGGTCGCCCCTTCCACTGCTTACCCGTCGCTGTTTCTGCGCACCGACACTTCGCTGCCGCCGTTCTACATCCTCGTGTATGTAGAACGAGGGCGGTCAGACTCAGGGTCTGGAATGTCACGCAGAGAAGACGCAGGAGGGGACGGCAGGGGAACACGCTGCGGAGCAGAGGAAGGACGCATGGCCATGAGGTGCGTGCCGGGGACAGCCGGCGGACGCTTACAAGGAACACGACGAACAGTACGACCAGTGCGAACAGTGCGAACAGGCAAGACAGGACGAGACGCAGGCTCACGACGCTCAGCAAGACCTCTTGCCTGCTCAGTGTAAGGAGAAGGAGCAGGCAGCAGGGAGCCACGCTGTAACGGAAGACCAATAGAAGACGGGAGGCTAAGAACCTGACGAAGCACGGAGACAGGCAGTGGCAGAGACGAAGGTGACGGCGCAGCGAAGAACGGTCGCGGCTGTGCAGTGCCACCGGAAGCTCTAGCACCTCCAGCTCCCGTGCCTCCAGCGCCAGCACCTCCAGCAGCTCTAGAACCTCCAGTGCCAGCACCTCCAATACCAGCACCTCCAGCAGCTCCAGAAGCTCCAGCGCCTCCAGCGCCAGCACCTCCACCAGCTTCAGAACCTCTAGCAGCTGCAGAACCTCCAACGCCAGCAAGGGACCTCAACCGGCTCAGTCAAGGGAGGAGGGTCTACCTGAGACACACCTGAAGGAGCAGTACCTGGAGCGGGGAGGGGGTCTACCTGGGGAGGACCTGGAGCGAGAAAGAGCGGCGGGGGGGGGGGGAGAGGGGCAGAGCGGTAGGGAAAAAGACGATAAAAGGGGACCGACTCGTCAAAGGTGACGTCCTGAGACGTAAAGACACAACGCGAGGCGGGGTCGTAAAACTGCCAGCCAGGCGCGTCAGGGAGAAAACCAAGGAAGACGCAGGGAATGGCGCGAGGGGAGAGCTTGTCCGCAGTGGTATCGCGGACAAAGGCACGAGCACCCCAGACCCGGAACCGCGACGCATCGCCAACCTCCCCCGTCCAACGTAGTGTGGGCAAAGTCTCCGGAACGGAGACACAGGGGCAGAGGTTGAGCTGATGCACGGCGTATCGGACCGCAAACGGCCACAGAAAATGGGGGGCAGCCGCATAAATCATGGAGGTACGAGCGACCTCCATGACTAAGCCAATGCGGCGCTTAGCAATCCCATTGTGCTGCAAAGGCCGCAAGCGTGAACGTCTGGCGGATGACGTGCTCCTCACAGTAGGCTGGCAAGAGGCCAGAGGAGAACTCACCACCTCTGTCCGAGTGCAGACACAGGACAGGAAATTCCGACTCGAACTGCTCGCGGAGCTGGAGACGAACACCGCGGATCCAAGGGATCAAAACATCAGGGACATCCCCCTTGCGCTGCAAGGGGAAGACCGTGGTGTAACGCGTGTACTCGTCGACTACCAGCAGGAAGTACCGCTCGTGGCCCTGTCCACGGACGCGGGCTGGGCCCCACACGTCCAGGTGGAGAGTCTGCAGTGGAGCCTCTGTGGGAGGGAACGAGGAGGAGTGAGGAGTGGTGTGCTGCCGCCCCTCGACGCAAGGAATGCAGGGCGGCGCAGGCGAGGGAGGGAGGGAGGGCAAAGACCTGGGAAGACCAGAGACTAGAGAGCGAGAGTGCATGCCACGAAGGCAAGGCAAGGAGGGGTGACCAAGGCGGTGGTGCCAAAGGAGAGTCTGGTGCAACACGCGGCGACACTCACACTAGGTAGCTACCTGAGCGTACGCGTACAACTGAGGAGACAAAGGGGTGTAGCGTGACGCAGTGGTGAGGGTGTATAGACTGGACCCAAACGCACGTGTGAACGTGGCCAGGTGGCGGCCAGTCCGAGAGCACGTGCAGATCGCCACACGCTGTCCTCCAGGAGTAAAGGTGTCAACCCAATGATCCTGAAGGACGGCGTTGCTCACCAGGTTTGTAGAGAATGAGGGGAGGTGGAGACCAGACAGCTCACCAGACGGGACCGCCGGACACGAAAGCACAGTAGTGGACCGTGTTAGCACTAGGCCCCAAAGGGGTCAGCCAGTGAGACAGGGACAGGTGCAGGGAGGGGAGTTACAGTGGTACTGTCGCGAAAGAAACAGCGGGAAGCACCAGAGTCAAGTGTAAAGGTGTGCAAGGCCTCAGCGGACGCAGTACCAGGGAGAACAGACTCACTAGCACCTAGGGCTGCAAACTCTATACCTGGGTCAGGCGGCATACACAAGTAGCAGCCACCCTCAGCACTAACAGTCAATACATACATGGCAGCAAGAATTACATCATAGTCAAGATCAAAGATAGGAACACCACGCCTAAGCAGGTCTGCCCAAGGGGGGAACTCAGTAGCCTCAGGAAACTTGGCGCGTCAGGCGTCACTAAGCCGAGAGAAGCAGCGGTGCTCAGTGTGATACCCGCCGCATGGCCGACCAGTGCGGGATTCCTGTGCGAATGATATAAGGGCAGCGAACAGGACCCCCAGACACCCCACGCTGAGCATACCAGTCATGAAGCTGCTGAGGGGAGAGGGTCTGCTGCTGACGCTGCTGCTGCTACTTCTGCTGCCTCTGCTGCTTCTGTCCCTGGCCACCACTGGAGCTCCCCTTCTGGCCGGTTCCACTCCAGCCCCCACCACCGCTGCCACTACCACTCCCTCCTCCCCCACTACCGCCGCTGCCTCCTCCACTGCTCCCAGTACCACCGCCACCCCCACCACCACCTCCACCCCCACGACCACCCGCACCACCTCCACCTCCCCCACCGCCTCCACTACCGCCCCCTCCACCGCCACCTCCACCTCCCCTGCCACCCCTGTTGCCCCTGGCACTGTGACGCTTCCCACTAGGAGCAGAAGCAGCCCCGACCTCCTCAGCACCAAGGTAGTCGAGAGCAGCAGCAGCAGAGGCGTAGGAGGGGACAAGAGGGGAGGGGGAGCACCCCTCAAAGAGGGGAGTGCGAGGAGTGCCACGAGTAGCACCTACAGCAAGAATGTTCTTTTCGGCTGTGAGGAGGTGCTTCTCGAAGTCGGCGACAGTGAGAGTGGTAGGGTCTAGGGCTAGAAAGTGGTCCCTGACTGAGCGAAGAGTGTCAGGGAGGCGGGTGACGAGGAAGTAGAGGGTAAAGTACATCGGGGGGTGATTCTCGGCGAGGAACTCGTCTGAAAGGGCGGCACGAAAGCGAGCGTCACTAGAGCGCAGGTGAGAGATGAGGTCCTCAGCAGTGGTAAACGAGGACAGGTCGGGGAACAGGTAGGGTAGCATAAGACGGCCTATGGGTGCAGTGGCTGGGGAAGAGTAGCGAGCAACTACAGCCTCATACAGTGCCTTGGCAGTCTTGTGCTGACTAAAGTGCGCGCGCTCAGTGATTGGCAGATAGTTGCGAATAGCGAGGCGCGTAGTAGCATCACGAGTCTGCCACTGTGAGTGGTCGAGAGCGGCAGCAGTGTCAGCAGGAGCAACGAAAGTGCCAGACGCGTAATCGAACAGTGAAACTCCGTCTTTGGCATCAGTCATAAGAAACAGTTGCAGGTCGTCGAGCCAAGTGGCAAACTCTATCGGGCGACCGTCAGGATCGAAAGCGAGGACATTGAGAGTCGCCATGAGTGCAGCGCAGGTGAGAGTAGCGCGCAGGCGGCAAAGCAGAGCACGGACTGCAGGGCAGAGAGCAGGCCAGGAGAAGCGGCGCGCAGGGCTGCAGTGGCGGCGCACGGATCAGCAAAGGCAGAGCGCGGGCTGCAGGTGGGCGGTGCGCTGGCTGGCATAGGCAGCGCGCGCGCAGGTAAGGGGTAGCGCGCGGGTAAGGGGCAGCGCGCGGGTGGGCAGAGGCCGCGAACGGGCGGCGAAGGCGGCGCGCTGGCCAGCAGGGGCTGCGAGCGATTAGGCGACGGCTGCATGCGGGCGGCGAGGGCGGCGCGGGCGCCTTACAGGCCTGCAGTGGCAGCGCGCGGGCACGCAGAGGCAAAGTGCGGGCCGCGCGGGCTGCTAGCGGGCGACGCGTGGGCAGGAAGCGGGCGACGTGCGAGCTGCAGGGGGTTGACGCACGGGCAGAGGCAGAGCGCGGGCTGAGCGGGCTGCTATTGGGCGACGCGCGGGCAGTAGGCGGGCGACGCGCGAGCTGCAGAACAGGGCAGGGCAGGGCGCGCAAGCTGCTGAAGCGGCACGCGCGGGACTAGAGCAGCGCGCGCGAGCAGCGCAGCGCAGGCAAGGCAGAGGCGCGCGCGGGCAGCGCAACGCAGGCAAGGCAGGGCGCGCACGGGCTGTCAGAATATTATGCTCTAGCCTGTAGTGGGGTGCTCTATAGCGAGTACAACCCTTCTAGGGTTTGCTATTTGTATCCTCATTCTTGTTAGTGCAACCCCCTTCTTCCTATTAAACTTTCACATGCTATCAGAGCAGGTCGATCCCCTTGGATCGATCCTGTGGGTGGGCTCACCACCTCGTTGCTTCCGCTGCAACTTCCACTGCTACTCTCTGTGCCGCACGCCCCGTGGCGTGCGGCAGTTTTTCTTCCCGCCATGCGCCCCGAGGCGCGCGGCGGTTTTCTGCCCGCCGTGCGCCCCGTGGCGCGCGGCGGTTCTCTGCCCACTGTGCGCCCCGAGGCGCGCGGCGGGCTTCTGCCCCGTCACTCGGCGTGTCGCCCTCGGGAGGCGCTGCGACGGGCGACGGGGACCCGCGCGCCGCCCCCCGTCGCCCGTCGTGGCCCGTGCGCGGCCCGTACAGGCTGCGTGCGACCCGTAAGGGCTGCGCCAGGCCCGGACGCGGCCCGTACGGGCTGCGCCAGGCCAGCGCGCGGCCCGTACGGGCTGTGCCATGAGAAGATATGAACGAGAATGAAATGACTATGAACGAAGTGAGTACAAATAGGAAACCCTAATTTGGGTTGTACCCCCTATGGGATACCCCACTATAGCCTACAGAAACAAGTAAGCTATATGTTCTGACACACCCCCATAGGCAAAGTGGGGAGAACAAGGGGTCACAAGACCAGTCAAGCAAAGCAAAGCAAAGCTCAGGGTGGATCACAAAGTCACCACGCATTCCGAGCACAAGTTCAAAGGCCAGAAGGCCAGTTCACATGCAAGATCATATATAGAGATATACAAGGTCAAGCAAGCAAGAGCAAGAGTATATATAGGCGAAGGTACAAGCAAGGTCAAGAGGAGAGCAAGTGAGGCAAGACAGGCACAAGAATTAACTGCGTGCAACAACGCTGATGATCACAAGGCGCAAGTGCCTTGGTGAAGACATCAGCAGTGTTGGCCTCAGAGGCCACGTACGCAAGTCGCAACTGTCCACGCTGCTGTAGCTCACGAGCAAGAAAGTAGCGGAGAGCAATGTGCTTCGTTCTGTGCTCCAGTCGCTGCTCTCGACACAAGGCCAGCATGGCCTTGTTGTCTACGTACAGGACTGGAGAAGAACGAGGCTGCTCTCCAAGGTCGGTCAGCAGGTAGGTGAGCCAGCGTAACTCCTGTGCAGCCATAGCCCCAGCGTAGATCTCAGCCTCACAACTGGAGCCGAGAACAGAAGACGAGCGGGTAGCCCGCCACGAAACAGAGCCGAAATCAAGGCTGAAGGTGTAACCCTGTGACGACCGCTGCGTAGCCTGGTCGTCAGCCCAAGAAGCGTCTGCGTGCCCAGTGAGGACCACTGGACTGCGCCCTCCAAGCACTAGCCCCATGCCCGACGTACTGCACAAGTAGCGCAACACCCTCTTCGCTGCAGCCATGTGCTCTGGTCGGTGTCTCCCAGGAGCAACATAGCGTGCGAGAATGCTAAGAGGGTATGCAAGGTCAGGTCGTGTGCAGGTCATCAGGTACATGAGGCAGCCAACAAGCTCTGCAAACGGGCCACTCGACTCTACGGACTCATCCGAAGGCAGAGCTGAGAGCGAGTGGCGAGTAGGCAGAGGAGTGGCCTGAGGCGAGGAGTACGTGAAGCCGAAGCGCTGAAGGACCTGCTGCACCATGTGTGACTGAGTTAGGGTAATGGTGCGGCGTGCTCTGTCCCGGGTGATCTGCAAGCCAAGGTAGCTACGCAGTTCACCCAGGTCAGTGCACGTGTGTCTCTTCTGCAGCTCGGACTTCACGTAGGCGAGTCCAGCAGTGTCAGCTGTGGCAAAGACCAAGTCGTCGACGTACACGAGGATGTAGAACGGCGGCAGCGAGGTGTCGGTGCGCAGAAACAGCGACGGGTCGGCAGTAGAAGGAGCAAACCCAAGTGCCGCGAGCGTAGTCCTCAGTGTGTCGTGCCACTCACGTGGCGCCTGGCGGAGACTGTAGACTGGACGCCGGAGACTCCACTGGGTACCAGGAGGGAAAGACCCAGTGAAGCCAGGTGGGCGACGCAGCCAGATCTCCTCGTGCAGGCTGCCCTGCAAGAAAGCTGTGCTGAAGTCGAGAGAGTGCAGCTCGTAGTCACGGTGAGCAGCAACGTGCAGTAGAACCCGAAGAGTGGTCATCTTCGGGGTGGGGGAGAAGGTCTGAAATTAGTCAACCCCCTGCCGCTGACTGAAGCCACGAGCCACGTAACGCGCCTTGAAGACAGGCGGAGAACCCGGCGGCCGCTTCACCCTGCAAAATCCACATGCCACTGACTATGTTCGCCCCAGGAGGGGGAACAGCGTCAACGTAGGTGCCTGTGGACTTCCAGGAAGCCATCTCTGCATCCATAGCTGCCTGCCACTGAGAGGAGTAGGGACCCTCTATCGCCTCCGCATAAGAGCGCGGAGTCGGGATGTCTGGTGCATCCGGGTCTCCCTCAGGGGCTAGCAGTACAGACGCGAGATGAGGTGAAGCGGCGGCCAGACACTGGAACTCCTCCTGCCTGTCCTCAAGGACGTCCGTGCCAAGGGCACACTCACCCCCGACGGACGGAGGACAGGCAGACTCAGACTCAGCGACAAGACTTGCATCGTAGTCTAGACGACAGCGCGCAGCAAAGTCGACAAGCTCAGTGACAAGGGCAGACGCAGCAGACGACTCGAACGAAGGGTCAGTGACAGCACTAGCAAGGAGACGCGTGACAGTAGGACTGGCAGCACGAAGAGAGTCCGACTCCGGGTCGGCAAGAGCAGGAAGAGAGGAAGCAGGAGGAGAAGGCAAAGGGGCACGCAGAGGAGCAGTGGACGGACGCAGTGACATCCGGTGCGTGCCAGGGACAGGAGGAGGACGCTGACGCGACCCGCGACCACTAGCGCGCGCAGTACGAACAGGCGACGCAGGACGAGACGCAGGCTCACGACGCTCAGTAAGACCTCCAGTCGGACCAGCGTAGGGAGAAGGAGCAGGCAAAGGGGAGGCAGGCTGTAGCGGTGGCTGTGACTGGACAGGCCGTGGACCCTCTAAGGGAGGAGGAGGAGGACCAGGAGAAGGTGTAAGACCAAGAACCTGCTGCAGGAGCGGAACGAATTACGGTCGGGGCCGCGCGGCGACGCCAGAAACAGCAGGGACAGCACTAGTACCCCCAGCAGGAGTACCCGCTCCAGCAGCACCTCCAGCAGCACCTCCAGTAGCTCCAGAACCTCCAGCAGCACCACCAGGAGCACTGCCAGGCGGACCGCCAGCGGCAGTCCCAGCGCCAACACCCTCAGCAGCACCAGCTCCAGGAGAACCCTCAGACCCAGCAGCTCCAGTACTCCCAAGACGAGCACCTCCGGGACCCGCGGCAGTGGCACCCTCTGCAGGCGAAGAACCTCCATCACCAGCAGCACGCCTCCAGCGCCTGGCAAACCACTCACGCAGCTCCTGTGGGGAGAGTGGCTCACGGCGAGACGAAGCACCTCCAGGCACAGCACCCCCAGGCACAGCACCCCCAAGCTCAGCACCCCCAGGCTCAGCACCCCCAGGCTCAGCACCCCCAGACTCCGCACCCCCAAACTCCGCACCCCCAGACTCCGCACCCCCAGGCTCAGCACCCCCAGGCTCAGCACCCCCAGGCTCAGCACCCCCAGGCTCAGCACCCGCAGGAGCACCAGAGTCACCAGTGACCTCGACAGGCTCGACCGCGTCTACCTGGGACACACCTGAAGGGGCAGGACCCTGAGGGGGGAGGGGGTCTACCGGGGGGGGACCTGGTACCAAGAAGAGCGGGGGTGGGGGAAGGGACGGAGTGCGGTAGGGGAAGAGGCGGTATTAGGGTACCGACTCGTCGAACGTGACGTCCTGGGAGGATTGAACACGTCGAGAGGTGGGGTGGTAGAAACTGCCACCCAGGGGCGTCGGGGGGGAACCCCAGGAAGACGTAGGGAGAAGCGCGAGGGGACAGCTTGTCCGCAGACAGGTCGCGGACAAACGCCCGAGATCCCCAGACCCGGAATGCCGACGCATCGCCAACCTTCCCCGTCCACAGCAGGGCTGGGGAGGTCTCCGGCCTGGAGACCCTGGGGTGGAGGTTGATCTGATGCGTTGCGTACCTGACCGCAAACGGCCACAGAAAATGGGGGGCAGCCGCATGCATCATGGACGTACGGGCGACGTCCATGACCATGCCAATGCGGCGCTCAGCAATCCCATTTTGCTGCGGAGAGTCCGGAAGCGTGAAGGACTAGCGGATGCCTCGCGCACGACAGTAGGCACGTAGAAGGCCAGAGGAGAACTCTCCGCCTCTGTCCGAGTGCAGACGCAACACAGGAAAGTCGGAGCCAAAGCTCTACCTGAGCTGAAGACGAGCTGCGCGGATCCAGTCGATCAGCACCTCAGTGACCTCACCCTTGCTGCGCAAGGGAAAGACTGTGGTGTAACGCGAGTAGTCGTCAACAACGAGCAGGAAGTATCGCTCCTGACCCTGTCCACGGACGCGGGCTGGGCCCCACACGTCCATGTGAAGCGTCTGCAACGGGGCCTCTGTCGGAGGAAACTGGGAGGAGTGAGGGGCAGCACGCTGGCGCCCCTCGACACAGGGGACACAGGCAGGGCCAGGGCCCTGAGGAAGGGGAGGGAGGGACCGGGAAGACCAGACACAAGAAGACGGGAGGCCATACCTCTGAGCCGAAGCAGAGAGGGGTGGCCAAGGCGGTGGTGCCAGAGGAGGGTCTCGTGAGACAGACGACGACATGAACAGGGGGCAGACTCAGGGCCAGACCTGGACGCTGCAGCAAACACCTGACCAGACGAAGGGACCCTACCAGACTCAGTACCTGGAGGAGAAGCAGTGGTCAGTGTGTACAGGCTCGACCCCGGCCGACGTGTAAACGTAGCCAGGTGGCGACCTGTGCTAGCCTCCGTGCAGTGTGTCACCCGCTGACGAGCAGGAGTGAACTGGTGGACACCCGCATCCTGTAGGTCAGCACCACTCACCAGGTTCGTCGAGAACGAGGGGAGGTAGAGACCAGACAGGGTGCCAGAGGGGGCCGCCAGACACGGAAGGACCGTGGAGAAGCGAGACAGGACAGGCCCCCCAGAGGGGTCAGCCAGGGACACCGCAACCGGCCGAGTCAGCGGCGTGAGAGTGGTGCGGTCCCGAAAGAAGGAGCGAGACGCTCCAGAGTCAAGGGTGAAGGTGTGAGAGGCCGAAGCCGACACAGTACCTGAGAGGGCAGACTCACCAGTACCTGAGAGCACAGACGCACTGGCACCTAGAGCAGCAGCCTCACGAGTACCTGACGCAGCAGTACCAATGCCCGGGTCGGGCGGGAAACACCGGTAACAGTCATCCTCATCACTACCAGTCACAGCATACATAGCAGAAAGAATAGCATCAAAGTCAAGATCATAAATAGCTACACCAGCCCTAGACAGCTCCCCCCAGCTGGGGATCTCAGCGGCCTCCGGAAAGTGCTGACGCCAGGCGTCGGTCAGTCGGCCAAAGCAGCGGCGGGCTGTGTGGGTGCCTCCACACCTCTCCCCCGCACGGTCGCCGGTGCGAAGAACGTAGGGGCAGGGACCAAGCGCACCACCACGCTGACGCTGCAAGTACCACTCACGGAGCTGCTGAGGGGCGGGGACGGTGCGAGAGCGCTGCTGCTGCTGTGGCTGCTGCTGCGGCTGCTGCTGCTGGCGCTGACCACCCCCAGAGCTGCTCCGCTGAGACGAGCCACTCCGACCCCCGCCGCCACCGCCACCCCCGCCTCCACCGCCACCCCCGTCTCCACCGCCACCGCCCCCACCGGCACCCTCACCCCCGCCTCCTCCGCTACCTCCTCCGCCGCCACCTCCGCCTCCACCGCCTCCACCAGTACCTCCACTCCCGCCACCACCTCCACCGCCACCCCCACTCCCCCCGCCACCCCCACCTCCCCCGCCACCGCCCCCTCTAGCTCCACCCGCTCCCTTGCCCCCTTTGCCCTTGTCAGTGCGGCGTCTACCGCTGGGGGCAGACGCCGCACCGACCGACTCAAAACCAGCGAGGTCGGCCGCAGCGGCAGAGGCGACAGAGGGCAGCAGGGGGAAGGAGAACACCCCTCAAAAATGGGGGTGCGAGGGGTCACCCCGAGAGGCCCCTACAGCGACGATGCTCTTCTCAGCCGCTAGCAGGGACTCCTCAAGGAGGTCGACGGTGAGGGTGGTGGGACAGACAGAGAGAAACTGGTCCCTAACTACACGAAGGGACTCAGGGAGACGAGTGACGAGAAAGTAGAGAGTGATGTACATGGGAGGAGGGTTTGCGGCGCGGAACTCAGCAAAAGGGCAGCGCGGTAGCGAGCGTCACTAGCGCGGAGGTGGGTAACGAGGTCAGCAACAGTGGGAAAGGCAGCGAGGTCAGGGAAGAGAAACGGTAGCATGAGGCGGCTAAGCGTAGCGGAGGAAGGGGAGGAGTAGCGTGCACAGCAAGACGTGCAGCAGCATCGCGGGTCGCCCACTTGGAGCGAACGGCGGGGTCAGCATCAGCAGGAGGGGCAGGGACAGCGCCAGAGACAAAGTCAAAGAGAGAGACCTCATCTATCGCATCACACAGTAAGTACAGCTGCAGGTCTTCAATCCAGACTGCAAAGTCAATGGCTCTACCCTCAGCGTCAAAAGCTAGGACAGTGGGGGTGGCCATGACAGCAGCTGACAGTCTCACCGGGCAGGAAAAGTCGGGTAGGTCAGCGGCACAGTAACACAGCCCAGGAGCAGTAGTGGCCCCACAGGAGCAGGAGTGCGGCTCCACTGGCGGCTCGGGCGGCTCGGGCGGCTCGGGCGGCTCGCCGCGGCTCGGGTGACGCAGGGGCTCACGGGCGGCGCGGGCGGCTGCACGGGCGGCTCACGGGCGGCTGGGGCTGCTCACGGGCGGCACGGTGGGCGGCTGCACGGTGGCGCGGCGGGCTGCAGCACGGGCGGCGGGGCCGACGGCGGGCCGTAGCGGGGCTGTAGCGGGGCCGGCGGCGGGCCGTAGCGGGGCTGTAGGCGGGGCTGTAGCGGGGCCGACGGCGGGCTGTAGCGGGGCCGACGGCGGGCCGACTGCGGGCTGTAGCGGGGCCGGCGGCGGGCTGTAGCGGGGCCGACGGCGGGCTGTAGCGGGACCGGCGGCGGGCTGGGGCGGGGGCCGACAGCGGATGTAGCGGGGCCGGCGGCGGGCTGTAGCGGTGGCCGACGGCGGGCTGTAGCGGGGCCGACGGCGGGCTATAGCGGGGCCGACGGCGGGCTGGAGCGGGGCCTACAGCGGGCCGACGGGGTCTAGGCGGGGCCCAACGAGGGGCCGTAGCGGGGCCTAGGCGGGCCAACGGGGCCTAAGCACGGCCGACGCGGGGCCGTAGCGGGGCCTAAGCGGGGCCGATGAGGGCTAAGCGGGCCGACAGGGCCTAAGTGGGGCCGACGAGGGGCCGTAGCGGGGCCTAAGCGGGGCCGACGGGGCCTAAGCGGGGCCGACGCGGGGCCGAAGCGGGGCCTAAGCGGGGCCGACGGGGCCTACGCGGGGCCGACGAGGCCTAAGTGGGGCCGACTAGGGGCCTAAGCGGGGCCGACGAGGGGCCTAAGCGGGGCCGACGAGGGGCCTAAGCGGGGCGACGAGGGGCCTAAGCGGGGCCGACGAGGGGCCTAAGCGAGAGCACGGCGGTAAGGGCGACACGGAGGGTCGCTAAAAAAAAACGCGCGCCTCGGGGCGCGCTTCGGTGGGCCCTAGGAGCAGTCCCTAGGAAGGGACCTGCTCTGATTCCATGAGAAGATATGAACGAGAATGAAATGACTATGAACGAAGTGAGTACAAATAGGAAACCCTAATTTGGGTTGTACCCCCTATGGGATACCCCACTATAGCCTACAGAAACAAGTAAGCTATATGTTCTGACACGCCAGGCCCGCGCGCGGCCCGTACGGGCTGCGCTAGGCCCGCGCGCGGCTCGGGCCGCCCTGCGCGCGGTTCGGGCGGCTGTGCCAGGCCCGTGGGCGGCCCTTTCCTCGCTGCCCCTGCCCTCCCCCGCTGTCCCCCGTGCTTCTACTGGCGCCCCACCCCTCCTACAGCCCGTTCTCCTGAATTAGGGTTTGGGGGTGAGGGGTATGGGGGTGAAGCCACTGTGTGCCGTTCCCCTGCTCCTCCTCCTCCTCCGTCTCCCTGTGCTGCAGCTGCCGCTGAGGGGGGGTGGACTTGTTGGAGCCGTTGGAGTGGTACTAAGGGGGGGTGAAGGGGGAGTGGAGCTAGCGGTGTAGCAGCGGGTGTGTGTCAGGGGGAGTGGGATAGTTTGGGGAGGTTGAAGGGGGTGGCCGCCGTGAAGCCAGCAGCTCCAGTCGCCCGTGAGACCGTTGCGCCAGTCGCGCGTGAGCCCGTTGCGCCAGTCGCCCGTGAGCCCGTTGCTCCAGTCGCCCGTGAGTCCGTTGCTCGTCTGCCGCTACTTTTAGCCGCGGAGCCAGTTACTCCAGTAGCCCGTGTGCCAGTTGCTCCAGTTGCCAGTGTGCCAGTTGCTCCAGTTGCCCGTGTGCCAGTTGCTCCAGTTGCGCCGTGTGCCAGCAGCTTCAGCTGCCGCCCACTACCTCCTCTCCTCTCATAGTCCTCTTTCCTTCCTCCTCACTTGCCCGTTGTGACTACCACTAGCTTTGCTCATAGTTGTGAACTTTAAACTATGGCTTCTTGAACTTGTGCTCAGAATGTGTGGTGACATTGTGATCCACCCTGAGCTTGTACTGCTTTGCTTGCTCTGCTGATTACACCCCACTTTGGCTATGGGGGTGTGTCAGAATATTATGCTCTAGCCTGTAGTGGGGTGCTCTATAGCGAGTACAACCATTCTAGGGTTTGCTATTTGTATCCTCATTCTTGTTAGTGCAACCTCTTCTTCCTTTTAAACTTTCACACGGGCGGCGCAGCGCAGACGTGGGGTAGCTCAGTAACCGCAACGGTAGGTGGGCCCTAAAAAAAATCGGTCCTACGGACCTACTGGTCTGAATACCATGTCAGAAACAACTAGCAGGAATGGATGAACTAGGTCAAAGTTTGGTACAAGTATGAAAACCCTAAAGGGGCTATACCCCATATTAGCTACCCCAATACAGCCTACACATATGTAACAAATATATAATTTGACATTTGGGGATACAAACCCTTGTAGGGTAATGTGCCAGGTAAAAACAAACCAGAGGGAATCCTATGGCGTGGCCACTCGAGCAATTATTAGAGGTCAATTTCAGGCAATCAGGGGCAATCAATTGACGCAAGACGATTCCAGACGGTGCACATCAGTTCTCCGTCACGTTCAGTACGTTCATTTTCAGTTCATCCGTCGTGGCGCAAGATGATTCCAGACGGTGCACAGCGGTTCTTGCACTTCCCTCTGTAGCAAACGTTCACGAATGTCACTAGGTGAGTTCGCATATTCCCCCTCTGGTTGGTGTCCACTCGGATCCGTCACCCTCGCTAGTTTTCAAGGTGGTTTGCTAAGGCATGATTTCGAACATTTCTGACATGCGCTTCCGCCTTACCATCGAGCGATGACTTCGCTAAAAACTGCACTGCATCATTGGACTGCACACAATGATTCTCCATATATCAAATGACTTAGATTGGTTTTGCCTCTTTGGAAGAAAAACCACACCACAGCAATGCACTACATCTGACTGGAAAATTAGAGTACGGTATCAGAGAGGCCACTGAGGGAGGCTACTAAGCTTCTAACTGCAACAGAGGCTTGACAGGACAGTGTTGCAGGAGGCGAGTCAGAAGTCAGAGTGCATGCGGGCGGCATGCGAGGATTGGTGTGCTGATGCGCTCTCATGGTGCTTCAGCCGAGAGAATGCGCCGGAGAGCCGCTCAATTTCCTGCAACAGAGGGGGGGGGTGTGATGTTGGTGCCACACGCAGGTGCGAAAAAACATGTGAGGTGTAGGATAGTGCAATTGGTTGAATGCAGGCCCCAAAATGTCAGGGTAAAATACCCTGATTGCCCTGACTGGCGGCCGCTTTTTTTGGGGTTACCCTGACCCAGTCAGCCTCCCGGATTTCTTACCCTGACTCATAAAGAGTTTGATTTTTTGTACCCTTATGAAATCCGAGTTATAGATTGTTTCCCCTGACTTTCATCAGTGTTTTGAACCTGCTACACTGATACCGAGTCTTTCGTAGCGAGGATACGGTGGATGTTGCGCAAAACGGCGCCAGCGAGTGTTGCATTAGGTAAAATTCCCGTTACGAGCATCGAACTCAGGTCCTTTCCAATCGCAGCATTACCTCTAAGGGGGTGTCCAGCTCGTTCATTTCGGGAAATTTAGTACCCCCTCACGATCCGTGGTTCAAAACTGATCAGTGTACCTAAAAACAAATGCGCCCTGTTTCGAGTCTACCCTTTCTGTCAATTCTAGTGCGCGGACACATTCCCCCCACAAAGAGTTCAACAGTGTCACGGCTGGGTGGAAACCGAGGTAACCTGTTCCCTCGTCAACCAAATTTCGCCCAGTCAACACCTCCTCTGCTGAACGAACCGCACACACAAAAAACACCTGGAGGGCATTCCAGCCCTCCCATACGCACAAAATTCGCGAAGTCAACAGCTCCTCTGCTGAACGAACCGCACGCACAAAAAACACCTGGAGGGCATTCCAGCCCTCCCATACGCACCAATCAAACAATCAAAATTGGAGGAGGGCATTCCAGCCTGCAAGCCCGCACATGGCGATTGCAAGATTTGCGCTGAATGTGGGCAACATGCTTGACGAGTTGGTTTTTTGCTGTGTTGGCGAATCTGGATTTATGGTGCGCTTCTAAATTTGAGATGTCATGCAATGTCGAAGGCCAGAGCGCAGGTGGTTTTGGCGAGCGTCAGGCGGGACTGGCGAAATCGTGAGGGCAGGACGCGGTGCTGTACCTAGGCTCGATGCGCACGCTGATTCCAGTTACGTGCGTCACACGATTCGAGGTACGTGCAGGGGGTGTGCCGTAACGTGAACGGGAGCCACACGCTGTCCGGAATTTTTGTAAAATTCAGTGTTACAACGCAAAATGTGGTAACTGTAGGGCCTTTACGAACAGTAAATGTACGAGCTGGATACCCCCTAACCCTGTGAAACACTTCAGCTCGCAACCGTCCAGTGTTTTTATAATTTATTGGCAATGTAATCAGGATAAGTTTTCTTTACCCTGTTTCTATCAGGTAACGAGATTGTTTACCCTAGGAGTCAGGGTTGGCCCACCCTGGAACTCTGATTTGACAGGGTGGGCCAAAACCAATTTTGGGCCCTGGTTGAATGCACCTACAGTCGTGGCACTTGTAAATACATATGGCGTTGCCAACATGCAGATGGCTTGCAGCACATGTCTCACATGCAGATGGCTTGCAGCACATGTCTCACATGCAGATGGCTTGCAGCACATATCTCGCATGCATGTGAAAACACATGTCATACATGTGCATGGCTGATGTCAGCCGTTCTCATGATTATTAATCTTGGGTGACCACATGTACCAGCTGCAGCACAAACAGGACATCCAAAGGGCGCAACATCACAACCACTCCCACCTGCTTTCATTCAAATCGCTCCACTTGCCTTCCATTCGGGTTTCATGCTCCCTCAAGAAGAGTGCATGCCATACCTGCCAAGCTGCATGTCGTCACGCATGCATAGCGCCTTGCATCACCGTACCCACAAGCCCTTAATCTTCCTTCACAAGTCCATAACTCCTTCTACTGCATCATCACACCTGTACTCGGTTCGGTTCTGTGCACGGCCATACCTACTTGGTTCGGTTGTATTCGCGGACATACCTCCTTGGTTCGGTTGTATTCGCGGACATACCTCCTTGGTTCGGTTGTATTCGCGGCCGTACCTCCTTGGTTCGATTGTATTCACGTGCAACAGCAAGGATTTCGGGGTGGAGGTGAGCTGCTCCAGGCGCACCCGCTGGCAGATGGGGAGGGGCAGAGGAGGGAAGGGGCAGAGGAGGGAAGGGGCAGAGGAGAAGGGGCAGATGGGAAGGGGCAGAGGGGAAGGGGCAGAGAGAGAAGGGGCAGAGGGGGAAGAAGCAGAGGGAAAAGGGGCAGAGGGTGGGGGAGTAGACGGGGAAGGGGCAGATGTAGAAAGCAAGGGGGGGTACGATTGGAATGAGCAGAGAGGAGAGGAAAACCGGAGGAGGGAAGCGGGATGGCGAGTGCATTGCAGTGGAGTGACATGATAGAATATGTAAGAAAGTAGTGTAGCAGGGCAGGAGCAAAGACGTAGAACTGACTGCTTGATCTCGTGCCAAGCTGACTTCAGCCTTGCGTGCCAACAGGTGCTTCCTGCAGGAGAAGAGAGAATATCGTGGACAGACAGATGAAAAAACGGGGATTTCAAAGTAGGGCTTTTAGGAGAACGAAAAATGAGAAAGAGGGGGAGAGGTGGTGGGAGGTAGGGACGAAATACAGGAAGAGAAGGGGGCCGGCAAGGGCATAGTGCGATTGTGAGAGAGAGACAATGCGGATGGGGGATGGCAGTGCCTCAGCAAGAGGAGGTGCAAGAGGTAATGAATGGTACTGTTGGAAGAAGCAGGGGTACAGCTCTGTGCGAGAGGTCCACTGGGCAAGCAGGTGGGGTGCAGCGGCGCTGGGCTCACCTGGTGTGCTGCACTGGGCTCACCTGGTGTGCTGCAGTGCCAGCACGGTGTCTCTCGTGTACGTGGCCGCTCGGATCTGCTGCTCCACCGCACTGCATCGCACAGCATGCAGCATGGGAGACCAGGCGTGGGGAAAACGCAAGTGTGAAAGAGGGTGGCATGGCATGGCATGGCTACATGTCACAGCATCATGACCACATGTGAGGGGTTGTCAAGAACGCTATGTGGGTGGGCCCAACCACCTCGTATGCTCAACACATACAGCTCCACCACCAGGCTGATCCTGCTGCCATGCCTGCTTGAGCTGGTTCAACAGGGGTCCTTCCCATCCTTCTCTAAATTGATATTCTGAACTACAGACCTTCTGAATGCTAAACAAAAATTTACCTCTTAGCCCCTCCCTCTTACTCTCCCCCTCCACCACTCTCCCCCTCTCACACCCCCCCTCGCCCTCACTCACTCTTCCTTGCACTGCAGCAGGGCAGCGCTTGCCTCCAGCAGCTTACACTGCCTCCCATCCTGCCATGCGCCATGCACCACGCGCCATGCACCATGCACCATGCACCATGCACCATGCACCATGCACCATGCACCATGCACCATGCACCATGCACCGTGCACCATGCACCGTGCACCGTGCACCACCCAGACGGGACGCAGAACGTGTGTGGGGGGAGGGGTGGCAAGGACTGGGAGGTTGGGCAGGACAGGCCGTAAAGCCTAAAAGGCCCACTGGCAAGGCCAGCAAATGGGCGAGGCGGGGAAGGGCTGGTGCGGGCAGGAGGCATGCGGCATGGCGGCAGGTAGGGTTGGAGTTGCATGGCGGCAGGTAGGGTTGGAGTTGCAGGTGAAAAGGGAAAGGCAAGGAAGTGGTGTTTCTTCTTCTACTTTGTACAACTGCATCCGTGCAAGCACGTGCATGTGCAAGTGTCAAAAGCATCGGAACAGACTCGTCGCCAGTGTGTTGCATAGGGGTGAATGCAGTGAGTGCTGGTACCACAGCCACAGCAGTTAACTGGTACCAGAGGGTTCGGTGCGGTGTGCTGTAGTTGCAGTGAGCAAAAAGGAGTGGTTACCAGCGGGTGCTGCTGGAGTGTCTTGAGCTGCAGCACGGCAAGAAGGTCGTTTGTCACCCTCACGTGCTCCTGAGCGGCAACCCCAAAGACGAGACCGCGGGGGAACAGATAGGGAAGGAGGATGGCAGGCCGAGAGAAACGGTTCAGGAAAAGAAGAAGGCAATCACGGAGGGCTGTAAGTGGTAGCTGAGAGGGCCGCGCTGCATGCTCCTTCCCTGCCCACCTGCGCCAGGGTGGCTCGTGTGTAGACTGTGGCCAGCAGCAGGCGCGTGATGGCAGCCTCCCTCTCCCGCACCCTCCGCACCTCCTCCCGCACTCTGCCACATGCGGGGGAGTGGGTGGTCGGGCGAGCGGGTGGGAGGGAAGGCAGGCAGGCAGGCAGGCAGGAACATGGCTCTTCACTCGCAAAGCTGGACCTTGGAAAACGCTCGAAGCAGCTTCAAGCAACAGACATGTAGACATTCTTGTGGAAAAAACATAACATTGACAAGACTAAAAGAGGGGTCACCTGAAGGAACATCGTACCAGATCATTCAAGTTTCGGCCTGCCGAGTTCAAATCATTAAAGCCTTTATGAGTGCATTTAAGGAACTACAACAAAATTCTTTCAATAGAAGCAGGCAAGTAGCAAGCGACTGCGGCCATGACCAGTTTTATCCGTGCATGACAGCTCACCGCGTGACAGCTCACCGCGTGACAGCTCACCGCATGACTGCTCACCGCGTGACAGCTCACCGCATGACAGCTCACCGCGTGACAGCGTCAGTGTCAGTGTTGGAGGCATCGTCCCCGAGGCTCACTGCAGGGAGGCAGAGGCACACGGAGGCAGAGGGCACACGGAGGCAGAGGGGAGGAGGGGAGGAGGGGAGGAGGGGAGGAGGGGAGGATGCACGCAGAGGCCAGAGAGACGCAACCAGGGCAGTGGGTTGGTTGGATGCATGTGTTGACAGGGTTAGGGCTCACATGATGCTTGTTGCACGCAACACATATTCCCATTTCAGAGGCTGCTCCACTAGAATTTCCAGACCGGTATTGAATCACAGGTGAGGCCTGTAGGTAGGTGGTACACGGTGATGCCTGTCGTACTCGTATACTCACCAAATAAAATCACAACACACTCAACACAGTCACATCACACTTGATACAGTCGCATCACAATGAACACAGCACATTGATATACAGTCACAACGCACACTGAATGAAGGTCCTGATGTTGGCTGCAGACGACGCCACTGCATCGATGACGCGCTGCTGCAGCCTCGTCTGGCACGCCTTGTTCTGCCACGCAGCCACACACAACGTGGCACCACTGCTGAGCGCACAGTGCCGTAGCACACAAGCACACAACAGCAGCATTGATGATGGCGGAGAGAGGCCTCCAGTGCTGCACATCACACGCTACATCCGTTGCACTTCCCCCCCCCCCTAATTCGCTACACGCCCCGCCTGAATCACTCTTCGCCTTCACCACAGCTGTAGCGCCACGGCCCTCTCGGCCGGCACCCCCACGGCCTTGCCAGGCCCAGCGGCTGACCCTGCTCTACCATGCACTGCCTGCCCACCGCCATGGCATGTGACTCACCGCAGCAGCCGTGGCAGCAAAAACGCTGCAGGCACCCCGGCTCCACTCCCAGCAGTGCTGCCGCGATTGCTCCAACCGCCCTGCCAGCCCCTGCTGGCTGGGCGTGCGAGAGCGTGTGTGAGGGGGCGCCGCGCGCGGGTGCAGCGAGGGGCGTGGTGGGCGAGGCTGGGGGGCACGGCGAGCGTCGGGGTCGAGCGTGCTGCTCAGGTATGCCAGTACCTGCAGGGGGAGCACGGGGCAGCACACACGAGGGCAATGAAGGGGAACGTACTGTAAGAAAGTCGGTGCAGTGGATCAAGGGACACAGCGCATCGGGACACAGCGCATCGGGACACAGCACATCGGGACACAGCGCATCGGGAACCGAGAAATAAAATCATTTCCGCTGCCACCTTCGAGCGCGTCCCCCCATGCACCAATAACCACGCCCTATCCCATATGTACCCTCACTCATCCCCACCTCCAACGAATTCTCTTCAACTCATTCTCTCCCCCACTCACCACGGTCTGCCCTCTTCCTCTCATCCCTCACCGCGTTGTGCGCGTGCGGGGCATGGGCGCCCTCCGCGCTCTCCTCACTGTACACCTCCGCCACCGCCGCCTGCACCACCTGCCCCCGCGCCCACGCGCACGGGAGCACCGGGGGTGGACGCACGGGGAGGGGCGGCAGGGAGGAAGGAGAGAGCTTTGAGACTTGTACAGACGTGCCCCCGTCTGTGCAGCACTGCCCACCGCACCCTCATAACACATGGGGGAAGAGGGCTGGGGAGAAAGGGAGGGAGGAGAAAGAGAGTGGAGTGGAGAGGGGAGAAAACGTATGAGGTGGTGGCATGAGAGTGGACGGGAAGAAGCGGAGGCATGGGGTGATGTAAGTAAGTGCATGGGGTGATGTAAGTAAGTAAGTGCATGGGGTGATGTAAGTAAGTAAGTGCATGGGGTGATGTAAGTAAGTGCATGGGGTGATGTAAGTAAGTGCATGGGGTGATGCAAGTAAGTGCATGGGGTGATGCAAGTAAGTGCATGGGATGATGTAAGTAAGTGCACGGGGTGATGCAAGTAAGTGCATGGGATGATGTAAGTAAGTGCATGGGGTGATGTAAGTAAGTGCATGGGGTGATGTAAGTAAGTGCATGGGGTGATGTAAGTAAGTGCATGGGATGATGTAAGTAAGTGCACGGGGTGATGCAAGTAAGTGCATGGGGTGATGTAAGTAAGTGCATGGGGTGATGTAAGTAAGTGCACAGGGTGATGTGAGTGCATGGGGTGATGTGAGTGCATGGGGTGATGTGAGTGCATGGGGTGATGCGAGTGCATGGGGTTGTGCGCAGGGAGAAGCGGGGCACGGAGCAGAAGCAGTGATGGAGAAGCGCGAATCGGATAGGCTGTTTAACCCAACACTTTTCTCCTCCAACCCTCCATTTCACTTTCCCCCAACCACCGCGCGCATCTCACCCGCTGCTCCAGGTACTGCCGCTGCGCGTCCTCGCGGTCCACGATAATCTGCCAGGCAGCCACTCATGGACGCACACGTGGCACCGCCAATCAAGCAAAATAATATCAGCCATACGTGAGCCAGAGTAAACGTAAGAGAGACGGGTAGACAGCTGGAGCAGCGCAAATTGAACAAGCAAAACAAGAACGCGATTCGACACCGCAGGCCGCTTCGAGGCGACTCACCGAATTCATGGCCGTCCGAGGCACCGCCTCCCGCACCGCACCGCACGCTGCACCGCGCGCTGCACCGCGCGCACGGGCGAGAAAGGCTGGGGTGAGATGGCGCTGCCGTACGAGTCCACACGGAACACACAGCCCAGCGACAGGTCAGGCAGCGACGTGCGGCGGACAGGTCGATCTGCTTCGTGAATCGTGGTGCTCGGGAAGGGGCGACGGGACGATATGCATTTGATTTCTCGAAGGACGCAAACGTAGACTAGATGGCGAGGTAGCTTCACTCACCTTCGCGATTACACTGACTAGCTTGTGTATACGTTCGTATTAGAGAGCGCTGCTCCCGAGCATGAGTGACGGTTGGGGCGATAGAACCGAGACAGGCAGCGCGATCGTGGCGACTGCGAAACGCGCGGGAAGGAGAGAAGTAGAAAGAGGGTGATGTTAGGGCGCGTCAGATCCGTTACAAGGTGATTTGGTCGACAGTTTGGTCGACAATATCTTTCGCCAAAGTCGACAACATGGTCGACTTCAATAACGACCAATATCCGGCCACATTTACAGGGCCGAAAAATCTGACACATTTGGTGGCCGATTTGATGGCCGCTATGCAAATGTTTCAGATTTGCAGTTCGCCAGGGTCGCCGGATTGTGCGACGGAATCGCAGATGCAGTACTTGTGTGACACGTTGCGTCGCACGAGTTGGCGACGTCGCGTAGTGACTGTAGCGATCTCAGGTCGACAGATTGGTCGACTTTCGAGTCGACTGCACGTCGGAACTTTGTCGAATGCTGAACCGGCCATCATTTTTTTTTACAAATGGCCGGATTTGACGAACTCTTCGAAAATCTTCGCGGATGTCGCGAATGTGTTACCTTCGCTAATTCCGGCCGGCCGGATTTTCCGACAACGGATCTGACGCACCCTTATCTTCCAGTATGACAGAGACACGCGTTCAATCACGCTCCATGCAGCGGTGCATGCAGATTTGCTCTTTCCTGTCCTGCCATCCCTGGACACTATCTTTCGCCAACAATTGTCTAGTCGTTGATCTTCGCACACGCGATATAGTTCCAGAATGAGCCGAAAGTCCCCAGCCCGTCTGGAGATGTATGCCCCACCTTGAAGGCGGCGTAACTGCTTTTATCTGGTTACAGGTACATCGCAGACTAGCTCGTCAGAAGTTCGGGTGCATGTGGTAGCAGGCACTCGAAACTCGGGTGTTGTGCGTGAGCGCGAATCCGCCTGAACAATGTCCGCGTTGTGGTGTGGGCTTCAAAGTTCAATAGGGTGTTCGGAAATCTACCAGTACACTCCAGACCAAACCATGCATGAGCTTGAAGGAGCTGACCCTACTGTGTGCCTCACACAAGAATCTAACAGGACACCCGCGTTGAAAACGGCGGAGAGAATGTGCGCGTGGCGGTTAGCACTATAGCAAGCAAGTGCGGGCGAGGACGTGACGGGTTGCCAGTGCAGCGCAGGAGTGCATGCGTGCGGGCGTACTAGTTCCCCTGTCCGAACCGGATCTCGAGCGTGCAGGGGTTCCCTCGGCTCCCTCGCCGCCAGCCGCACACCCGCATGGACCCACAGCCGCGCCGCAGGTCGCCTCACGCCGCCAGCAGGTCGCCTAGTCGCGCTGCGCGTCCCAACGTCGCCACCAGCAGCGGTGGCGGCGGTTTCGATGAAACCGTTAGCCGCGGCGACGGGGCTGCGCGCGATGCGGACTTGACGCCCGCGCAGTTGGCGGAGATGGCGGAGCGACGGCAGTTGGCGCAACTGAGGGAATTGGATGATATGGCGCTGGAGGAGGAGGGGGAGGACGAGGGGGAGGAGGAGGAGGGAGGGAGGGGAAGGGCCGAGGGTGGCACAGGTCGAGAGGCGCACTGGGGGGCGGCTTGGCGGTGGGCGCGCGCGCGGGGAGCGCGGAGGGCAAGGCGAGCGAGAGGCGTGCAGCGGCGAGCGCGGAGTGGGCAAGTGGGGAGACAAGGGGAGGGGAGGCGGTGGAGGGGGTGGAAGGGGAGGGCGAGAAGGACGCGGAGGGGAGGAGGGCGACAGGGGAGATTCGGCTGAGGTATGCTCGGAGAAGGCGTTATGTGGTGAAAGGAGCGACGGAGGAAGCATGGCGTGGAGGAGGAGGGAGGGCTGGGGCCAGGTAGCAGCAGGCATGGTGATGACGTGGAGCCTGGAGAGGAGCAGGAGGGCGAGGAGGAGGGGGGGGAAGATGTGGGAGAGGAGGGCGAGGTGGCGGGAGAGGAAGGCGAGGTAGCAGGCAGTTGTGAGGAGGGAGAGGGGGGAGAAGAGGAGAGGAAGGAGAGGAAGAGGAGCAGATGGGGGAGGGAAGCGACGATGGAGAGGTGGAGGCGAGGGGCGGCGAGGAGGGAGCAGGGCGCAGGGCTGACTGTGTGCGGTGCAATGAGGTGGGGCAGGGCAGTGGCGCGGTGCAGAGAGGCATGGGCGAAGGAGAGAGGCAGGGGGGACGCGGCACAGCAGGGGTGAGGCGGCAGCAGCAGAGACAGAGGCGGCAAGTGGTGCGAGGAGAGGAGGGGGAAGGGGAGCGAATGAGAGAGGAAGTGGAGGTTGTGGTGCGTGGGAGGGGCGGCGCAGGCCAGAGAGAGGAGGCGAGGGGATGGGGAGAGGCGCGCGAGGGGGCGGCGAGGGGAGGCGTGCAGGTGAGGGGAGGCGTGCAGGTGAGGGGAGGCGAGGTGGGGGCGGCAGAGAGAGCTCAGGTGCAGCAGATACGCGCAGTGGAGGGGAGGAGCTGGAGGAGGAGGAGGAGGAAGGGACGAGGGGAGGCGGGAGGGGCGGGGAGGAGTGCAAGTGAGCGGCGAAGGCGAGCGTCATGGCGGGGCAGTGGGCGCGGCAGCAGCAGGGGCGCACATGGGGGCGTGCAGGCAGGTGAAGGCAGGGGTGGAGAGAGGGGGAGGGGGGAGCACAGCAGCACCTGCTGCAGGCGTCACAGCAAGGGATGAGGCAGGTGTGCGGGGCGGTGCAGCGGCGTGAGGTGTTGGAAGGGGTGATGGCGACGGTGGAGGAGGAGGAGCAGGTGGCGGGGGGGTGCGGTGGCGGTGGTGGTGAGTGCGTGGAGCGGCAGCATGGAGTCGGCAGCGAGATCCTGGCGATCCAGGGGGAGGAGCTGAGAGGAGGACATGGGCGAGGAGACGAAGAGGGGGAGGAGGAGGAGAGGGGCCGGGCAGCAGGGGGCGGCGAGGCAGCATGTGCTGAGCTCCAGCGACAGCGATGACCCCAGGTGCCACGTGCCTCAGGTGCCACGTGCCTCAGGTGCCACATCTCACGTGCCTTGGGCGCCACACATGTGCATGTGGCGCCGCACATGTGCATGTGGCGCCGCACATGTGCATGTGGCGCCGCACATGTGCATGTGCGCCCATGGGAGCAGCGTCCTCATGCAAAGATAGCCCCTTTTCTGGGTACGAGATGCGCAAGATTTAGAATGCCATAATTGCACTACAGCACTGTCCCACCCTGTCACTCACTGTCCCATCCCACTGTCAGCACTGTCCCATCCCACTGTCAGCACTGTCCCATCCCACTGTCAGCACTGTCCCATCCCACTGTCAGCACTGTCCCATCCCACTGTCAGCTCTGTCCCATCCCACTGTCAGCACTGTCCCATCCCACTGTCAGCACTGTCCCATCCC